GCCCCCACTCCCCTCCCAGAGCCAGGAGAGAACCCACGGAGTCCTGGCTCCCAGCCCCCCCTCGCTCTAACCACCAGCCCCCACTCCCCTCCCAGAGCCAGGAGAGAACCCACGGAGTCCTGGCTCCCAGCCCCCCCTCGCTCTAACCACCAGCCCCCACTCCCCTCCCAGAGCCAGGAGAGAACCCAGGAGTCCTGGCTCCAACCCCCCGCACCACCACCCACACAGGGTCTGTGCTACAGGGCATGTGCTTTGAGCACTGGACATCGCCCATCGGCCGCAGCTCAACTGGATCCATGGGGCCAGCCCCCCAGCTGGCCTGACCGGGGATGGTCGGTGGGTCTGTGGCTGGGGAGATGGTTTCACCTGTTAAGTTGGACCCCACCTTGCCGACCGCATCGATCTGCGCCGGCCGCTGCCTGGCCCTGGTGGTCAGCGGGTGCCCCCACTTGGGGCATCAGGGCAAGAGACGGGCTCCTCCCCAGCCCCGGCCGCCGTGAGTCAGCTCCGGAACCAGCCAGGAGCCTCCGGCGCCCCGGGTCCCATGAGACCCACACCGGATGGGAGCCGGCAGCGCCGGGATATCGATCCTCCGAATTCCCAGCATGACTCCGCTTCCAGCCCAGCCCCCTCCCGGAATCTGACCCCAGGTCCCCCCCCACCTCACCCAGGGCCGGGAGCTCCCCTCTGTCCATCAGACCCTCACCGCTCCCCAAGGGGGCCAGTATTCAGTGGCTGCAGCTCCATTGGGGTCAATGGGGCCGGACCCCCAGCTGGGCCAGTGGCCGTAGCTCCATTGGGGTCAATGGGGCCAGACCCCCAGCTAGGTCCATCTGCTGTAGTTCCATTGGGGTCAATGGGGCCAACCCTCAACTGGGGCCATCAGCCCGCAGCTCCATTGGATCAGTGGGGCCAGACCCCCAGCTGGCGTGACTCAGAGTCACTCTGGAGTGACACCCCTTTAGACACCAGCTGAGTCTCTGGCCCTCTATGGAGCGAATTTGCCCATCAAGACACAGGGACGGATCCTCAGCCTGTGTAAACGGGTGTCACTGCAGAGTGACACCGATGGACCCAGCCGGCACCCGGCCCGGAGCCACGGTCAGCCCCCCCTCTCCCAGCCGCGGTCGGACCCTTCAGCCGCTCCCCGCCCCGCGGCTTTGTTCCCCCCCCCCCCGCAGTTCGAGACCCCCCAAGTCCTCAGCGCCGGCTGTTCCCATGGGGGAGTGGGGGCGGGGGGCTCCTACCGTCTCCCTCCATCGCGGCGGGGGGCAGGCGCAGGGGCGGCGGAGCGGGGCTCGGAGCTGTCCGCCCCGCGGTGCTGAACGGCGGCGGGGTGGGGCGGGGGGTGGGGACGAGGGAGGGGGGAGGGGCGTCCCCGTGGCAGGGAGGAAGGGGGAGGGGACTCTGCCATCCCGGGGAGGGGAGGGGCTCTTCCGGCGCAGGCTGGGAGGGAAGGGGAGGGGGCTCTCTCCTTGCAGGGAAGGGGGGGGGCTGGGGGGCTCTCCCCGCGCAGGGAAGGAGGGGGGTGGGGAAAGAGGGGGGCTCTGGCTTAGGATCCCCAGGCTGGAATGGTTCATCCCGATCAGCAACTGGGGCGGGGGCGGTGAGGAGCAGGGCCCGGCCCCTCCAGCAGGGGGCGCCAGGG